GAGCTAAACATAGAAACATAAAACGTAGAAAGTTAACGGCTCTTAGAAAGAAAAAAGTTGCCAAAATATTTTTTGTATGTATTTTAATTATTATGTTTTTTTTTGGGATAATTTAAATGTGGATTTCTGAGCACAAAAGCTAAAGTACTTCGATCACTCTGAATATTAAAAGAAAATTTCGCTCATTTTAAGGAGAAATTAAATACAAATATATATTTATTTTAAAATTAGGTAAAACTGGAAATTTAAGAACAATTTAAAATAACGATTTAACCAAAATATAAATAACAAATTTTGGGGTCAAATATGATTAAAGAAAAATGCTTTAAATGATCTAACTAAAGAGCTGACATCATTAATTTTTAATTTATTTTACTTGCGTCATAAATAGCTCTGCAGCTGAAGAGCGTATATTTTCAGATTTAAAATTGATCCAATATGAAAAGAGAAACAGAATTTCATTACCAACTGCTGAGAATATGATGGGGCCTATTCATAGTAAAAATAAAGTCGATGCTGAAGGCAGTCTCAGCTTTTTGACATAATTTCCAATGAGTTTAATGTGGAATGAATCACATAATTTGATAATTAAGGCCCTGTCTCCACAGGAAAACACGGATGTCGTGATAACCATGTCGCAAAATATATTTCCAATGGAGACCGTCTTCTTCTCATGGGCTGCAATATATGTCAGCGCTTATTGCTTGACATCTATTGCAGGCAATTCGATAGTTTGACCGCCATATTTTCATTTGAAAGAAAGCGTGCTGGTGGTAACACCGATGAAATTTTGATATTAAATCAAAATAAAAATCTGTTCCCTATTGGATTATTTATGGTCGCGTTCATAAGACGTAGCTGTTTAGCTCATCTGCTACGAAACTGCTGGCAACTGTTGAACCCAACAATTACGTCTTAGAAACGGCTTGATGAATATGCTGCTGATAAATGTAAACAAATGAAATTGCAACAAATAGAGATAGTTGCGCCAATACTATTTAGAATTCAACGCTGAGCGGCCGCAGTGTTGAAAAAATCGTTTAATGTTACAATGAATTAAACAGTGTAAAATTATATAGCAAACATCTTAAAAACATATATTTAGAAACGTAGTATTATTATAAGATATTTTAGTTACTTTATCACGTCAGTAATATAAAATATAATAAATTTGTTTGCAACTGCCACCTAACAAAGCGGCGTTAAATTTAATATAAGCGGCGTAAGTCTTTTCGATCAGCTGTTTAGACTAAGCCCAACACGCTGAGTTCAGGTAGCGTAAAAATTTTCCGCAGGAAAAAATGGCGGAAAGTTGCCAACGGTTACCCAACAGCTACGACTTATGAACGCGCCCTATGATTACGTTTTAGGAAATTATTTAGCAAGTCTTTTAAAGAATTAAATGTTTTTAAACACCGAAATTGAGAGAATGTGTTCTGGTGGCGTCATGCGGCAAATTCTTATTTCAAGACATCAAAATGCCCACACACAAAAGCTTGCAATTATATTGCTCGTCAAAATGACAGTTGGTAGGCCATCGGTGTTTGCCTGTGGAGTTCTGCGGTAAGGTAAATGATCGACATCTAATAGTTTTAAATAAGTATACATATATTTGAATTCAAGTTTCTATAAAATCTATACATAATATTTTTGTTCGTCTCTATACAAGATTAAAAACAATAACCTCTTTTTTGATAGATTGTCACAGTATGTAAAAAATTTTTCTTCATGTACATACATACATATGTATGTGGGTGTATGAATGCGAACTACATGATTTTTCGGTTATTGACCATATTAAAAAGCAAAGGTATGGAACCAAATAGCATTGTTTTAAGTTTCTAACTTGATACTTAAATAAAAATTTTGTGATACTAGTTTTCCATTTTTTGTTTCTTTTTCATGACGTCGCGGCACCACTGTCTCCCACTCTTTTAGCCCGAACACAATGAAAACGACGAGCTACGGACCACAGCTGCCAAATTATTTTAACACGTAATCTTATATAGATAATTATTTTGGCGACGACCGGGCTACGCGACGACTGTGGTTGCGGCCATATTAGATCTATATTATGTCAAACTCATACAAATTCATGATGTCTTTGCCGCGTTCAAAAAAATCATGTAGTCATCGATAAAGCGTTTAGATAACGAAGGTATAAAAGGTTCTTTCCATAACAATCCGGACCGGATCCGGTAATTAGAGAATAAGCGAAAAGTTTGCTCTCAAAAATGGAACATAATCCAGAAGTACGGGAACGCAAAAAACCACATTTCGTGCCCAGAATTTGTGAAACAGCTAGTGATGTGCTGAATTTTCGGTACCCAATACTCGGTACCCAATACTTAAAAAAGATTTCGGTACCCAATACTTCCTTTTCGGTAGCCGATACCGATTCTTTGCATTAAACCTTCGCCAATCTATGCATTTCAAGTTTAGATATCGCACTTGTTGACGTAAAAATATTTCATATCATACGTCAACAAAACTGATGCCGATTCGAAAATTGTCGCTAACTGGTTGCAGAATCTGCCTCCAGGCGTACAAAAATGATATCGTCAGATTCAGCTGGAACAAAAATGCTTCAAACAAGAAAGAGTTTCTCTGCATTATGGCCTCGAACCGACATATATACATATTTCATTTGAATCCGTATTAAAAGCTCTATTGGCTCCTACATTCGGGTTTTTATAGGCGAGTCTCCGCTGAACCGTTTTTTCCATATTTTTGGCCTATGTGCGCTTTTATTCCAAACCTGAATGTTTCGGTACCGAGTATCGAGAGTACTGGATACTTTTTAAATCGGTACCGAATATCGATCAATACTTAAAAGTATTGACTCAGCACACCACTAGAAACAGGCAACATGTAAACACAAAACAGCTGATATGCATTTTGACGCTTTATCCATTTTTACCCGGAGAAAAAGTCCGGGCTGTGTTGGGCAGGAAGAAGAAGACACTTACGATCCAATACGTTCCAATTTTCCCTCTCTATTACCCATTTTGTTGAGTACGGGAATGATTTCTGGGCTATTTTGGGCACCCGCGGGATCCCGCGTTGCGTACGGGAAAGAACCTAAAATTGGAAGATGTGAACCATAGCTCGTCATTTACAATGTGTTCAGAACTTTTCTGTTGATGTTCGGATTCTATACGTGTACGAAGCCGATTGTATACAGGGCTGCCAACTATCCTTAGCTATCAGATGCCATATTGAGGATAAAAAATGTGCCATCCTCCTTTTTAATCCTTCCCATTTAGCAATAAAATAAGAACCACATTTCTAAAACAAAAGTGCAATGCCAAAATAAGATAAACCAGATGAATAATCTTTAGAAATTAGAAAATTTTAGTTGAGAAAAAAAAGTACACGCAAAGGATTTCACAAAAATGTATTGAAATATTACTATTTTTGAAAGGTGCCATTGAAAAATTAAGTGCCATTTGGTGTAAAATGGGGCCAAACATGGCACGGTTTGAGCCAAGTTGGCAACCCTGACTGTATACATGTGAAAAGTCGAATATATATAGTTCGATTCCCAGGAAAGTGTTTGGGGGGCATTGATCTAGAACATAGACTCTAGATGATCAAACATATTTCTGCATCAAAAAGAAAATTTTGGAAAAAAATTCGATTAGGTACGTTATTTTGGCGGTTAGGGCTCGATATATATGCATGCATGAAAAATTAGGGTTCTTGAAACAAAAGCTTGAACTTCGACCTTGGATAAATTAATTAATAATTAATTAATTAATTTATGGAAATTAATTTATAAAAACACTGATGTGGCCTTGCTTATTTTAAAGCAGTACGGCTTTTAAATAGGCACATACAGTATTGGACATATCTATAGCACCCCCCTTTCAAAGCGATATTGTTTGCCACTTATGTTTCATTATTGGTTTTTAAGAATTTTCAATTAAAATACAGTTCATTCTCTAACAAAACCCATATAAACCAATGCTTCCATATAACGACTAAACACAATTTATTTTTATATGGCAGAAACCCGCAACATCCTCGGCGAAAAAAATTCTAAAAAATCAACGGTAATTTTTAGCCACTTGAAACTTGCACATTATTATACTAAAATTGAATGGGCTATAAAACTGTGTATTCAAAAAAATTCTACCGCTTCTGAGAAAAAAGTTTGAAATTTGGGTGAAAATTTGTTGCACTTTTTTGCGGTCTTTTAAAAAGTTTTAAACTTGAGTTTATGTGAGTTTTGTGAGAGAATGAATTGTATTTTAATTGAAAATTCTTAAAAATAAATAAATGAACATGAGTGGCAAACAATATCACTTTGAAATGGGGGTGCTATTGTATTGGCCAATACTGTATATACATAGGTATGTACATACATATCGTCGTTGCAAGTACAAAACCGCGTATCGTGGTTCTGCAAAACCTCGTAACTGACATTCTGGCATCAAGCCCTTATCCATTCATACTAAAATATCAATACTTAGATACCTATAAACACAGTTAAGGATAAAAGAGACAACCGTTTTAAAACAGGAATAGGAGGTTTTGCATTTTCTTGATACGCGGTTTTATACTTTAAACGACTATATGCATGTACGTAAGTAAATTTAATTACTATAGCACATATAGATACGTAATTATGTGCGTATTTAATTATCATTGAGACTACTTTCTCTGCTGCTTTCAAGAAATTTAATCGTAACTAAATATTTCACTCTGCATGGCAGTTTACTATGCATGTATGGATGTTTGTAAAGTTGTGTGTATCCGATCGTGCTTACACATCGTTCAGTTGACGTTAACTTCGCTGTTACTGTCAGCTTCAAGCAGCGACTGAGCATCTGCAGCGACGCCGACGTACACAGCTACTGCAGATACTCTCTCTGGCATAATATAGTTTGTATTATCTTTCCACTATGCATTTCGCTTTTGACATTTTCTAGACGCATAGAATAACGTAGAATGAAGGAACGGATGGTAATCACTTCGCTATGCCTCAAAATCTTCAACAACGGAGAAACATACAATAAACTTGTCAAGCAGTTTGTCGATTCACGCCATGCTTGGGTTCGTTCGCTCGTTCGTTTGCTTATTCGTCGGTTCTTAGTTCGGATGTTCGTTAGTTGTTTATTATTATTCATTCGAAGGAAGGTGCGGTGGGTATCGAAACGCTAAGCAATGTACATTCACACGCATATGCGTGAGAACCTAATGTAAGCATTTAAAAATATCGAGGGGTGCGGGTTGCTAACGTTGTATTGCCTTTGTATTAGTGGAGGCGCTATGATGTGGCGGACGTCACTGCCACTTGGCACAGCGCAAATACTTGACTGTCTGCCTACGCACGAGCATGATTTGAGCGATTGGTAGGAACTAAACAAACAAAGTCGTATAGCTAGGATGGTTATGGAATTTATGGTTAGTTCAACAGCTTTTACAACTTACGAATCTTCTTTGTTATGTTTATGTATGTCTTTTAGGGAATGTACTATGTAGATACTACAAACATACGTACACCGAATAGAGCAAACATGTTCAGTTAATACGGCAGTGTACGAAATAACCGTGAAGTTCTGATATAGTAAAATATTAGGATGCCAAATTTTCTGCCTACATATTTATGTATGAGTATGCATGCACATTCATATGCATCTATTTTGTAAATGACATTTTCTGTATAATATCTCTACTAGATCATCCATAATTAAATCACTTCCTTTATGTTTTCTGTTTAGTTTGCTGAGACGGAACTATGTAAGTAAATTCATTTTCATAAATGCTCCTAAAACAACATACACTTATCCTAGCCACCTTAAAGCTCAGTTAGTCTAGACTTAATTTCCATAACTTAACTTAACTTAAGAATTTGGCCAACCTGTTATATGAGAAACTGTGTTGGCGGTTAGTTAAAACTTAACTTAACGTTAGCAACTTAAGAATCTGTAGATTTTAGATATTTAAGTTACGGTCTTACGGAAATTGAGAGCGATGAGAGAATCAACTTTCCAGATTTTCGTTTTTGTATTTCTCAAAAATAAATGAACGCAAACATATTTTTTTACAAGTGTTTTTTGATGTGGCATTTTAGACGCCAAACTGTTAAAGAACTCAAAACGAAAATACAAAAACAAAATATTTCCGCTTCTGGCTTAAGTTGACTTGTTGAGTAATCATTGATGATTTCTTACGGCAAGTTAAGTAAAATTAAGTCTATACTAACTGAGCTTTTAGTTTTGCCAAAACTTAACGAGTGGCAAAACGAATGAAATTAATGGGATACAACCAAACTCGCCAACGTTCATCGCTGCTAACTAAGGCACTCCGCACATTAAGCTCCTAATCACAGTAGTGTAATCGTTTCGGCATACTAAAGTATAAAGCATTTATGCCGAACCCATGTATTTCAATGAAGCTCTGTAGATTACGATTCAAAATCATGTTTGCGCCTAATCATTAAAGCTTCATGAATCGAAGCGCCCAACATTGTAAGGCGCTTGCAGTTTTGAAATCGTCATTTGTTTACTTTTTTGTGTTGGAAATAAAATTTATTTGTCAATTCAATAGAAAATAATTGGAAATGAATGATTTCGTGCTAAAATTCGTGCAAATTGCATTAAACCACAAGCGTTTATGCAATATTTCGGAGCGGAATAATTTGCGGAAGTGCGTGTTGCGAAATAACGGCCAAAAAATTTGTTATGTGTAAAAAGTGTTTATTAGCTGGTG